GGACACACACACCTGCTCCGGGGTCCCCTTCTCCGGTCCGGCCTTTGCGGGAGCCAACTGCAGCCGCAGCTCCTCGGAGCTCGCCTGATGGGCCAGTTTACAGGGACGTGGTTTGCTACGAGGCAGAGTTTATTCTCCGCCGGTTCCTGGAGGGCACCGGCTGCGCAGTGAGGGAGCTGTGAGGGCAGGTCCCTTGTCCCCCAGGTGGGGTGACAGCAGGGCGCAGCCAAGGGCACACCCAGCAAGAGGCTACCTGTGACCTTCAGCCCTCGCACTCGCCCGGTGTCCTGGCCGTGCTGGCTGCTTTCACACGCTACCTCATGCTGCTGTCCCCAGCCCTCACCCTGGCCGAGGGGCACCAGTCGCTGCCAGGGGAAAGAGATGGTGTTTTGTTCCCGGGCTCGCTGCTGCGCGGCGGCTGATCGTGCACACACAGGGCCTTTTCAGCATTGGGAGAAGAGGGTGATGGCATCTGGGAACGCAGGGAACAAAGGGCCCCGTTGATGCTGGCTGCAGCCCCACGGGTTTCTGTGAGCTGGGGCAAGGCCAGGGTGCAGGCACAGCTGTGCACTGAGCTGGGGCAGCAGCAATGCATGAGCTAAACCTCCCCCAGCCGGGCTGCATGCAAAGCCTTGCTGCCTGACCGGAGGGGCCTGAAGCTGGGGAAGAGAGGGGAGAGTGGGATTTGGGCTAGAGTTCTGTTTGGGAAGAACAGCAAGAGTGCTGGCTGTGGGTAGGTAACAGGCTGCTGGCTCTCAGCCCGCCCTGCTGCTCATGGGCACCTAGCCGTGCCTGAAATCTGCCTCTCGGGCAGATCTGCTGCAAACAGGAGTGGTGCCGGGGTTTGAGCATGGGGCTGGGAGCATCCCTTTGTGACCTTGCTCCCCGCAGGCTCCTGAGCACAGCTTCTGGGGGGGGGAATTTCCAAGAGAAGCAACACTTGAACTGATAATTTTTAAGTCGCTGCTGTGGAAGTGTGTCTAAGGGCAGTGTTTGTGTTACCAGGGGCAGAAAGGCAGCAGCCAACGACGTCCCCACGCACCAGCCCTGTGCAAACTGTTAACGACCCAGCGGCAAATGGCATGCAGCCACCCACAGAGCGCGTGGACAGGACACGTAGGGAGGGCCCTGCAAGAGTCAAGTCTGCCCTCATGCCTGAACAAGCCCGTTGTATTTCACACAGGGCTCTCTGCAAGCGAGAACCGCTCATCCTGTGTGGCTCTGGACGTTCTCGTACCATGTGCATTGCTTGATGCGAGCCAGTGAGCTTTGCTTGCGGCATGCAGATTAGTTTTGCAGTGGTCACGCTGTAGGTGCTACATTAGGAGATGTGACAGAGTCTGTCACCATGTAAGCTGAGTATTAAAGGGCAGCGGCACATCACCAAACACTAGCAAGTGGCTCCTACTTGCTTTCACCTGGGTGGCTGGAGGAGAAATAGAGGTTTTAAGGGCTCCTCAGCTGGGAACAAAGATTTTGAAGTCAGGGTTACGTACCTCATGGCTGGGGTGGGAAGAAAGGGTGGGCAGAGTCCCGCAGGGGCTGCTGACCCACACATGGGGCTGGTGAGCACTACTCCTCTGGGACCTTCTCCTCTGCAGTCTCTTCTTCCCTGCTTTTTTTTAGTCTGGTGGGGTGGGAAAGCCAGCACAACAAATGGACGGACAAATGTATGTCTTGTTCAGAATGTTCTTAATTTTAATTTATTTTCTTTAATTTTTATAAAATACATCTTGTAAGATAAGTCTCTAAAAACTTGCTCCTTTATTGCTTGTTAACAAGTTGAAATTCTAGATCAGAAATTAAGGAAACACTTTCAGTTGATTAACTCTCTTTGTGTGTGTGTGTGTGTGTGTGTATGTGTGTATGTGTGTGGGTGTTCGGGGCATGGGGACATGTGTGCGTGTGTGGGTGTTCGGGGTCTGGGGACAAGAGTGGGAAGGAGAATCTGGTTATTTTTTGTTAAATGGATACCAAAAAAATCCCAGCAAACCCCCAAGAGAGATAGCATCGATGTGAATTTCCAGATCTTGACTGGTTTCTCCCCACCCTGCTGTCCCTCCTGGCATCTCCCCTCTCCCCACCCCATGTGCGTTGGTAGCCTGGCCAACCTATTTCAGCATTCTTGGCAGCAAGGATCCTTCAAATGCTCTGTTCAGCAGATTGACTCTTTTATCCTTGCCCCTGCTGAAACTGGCACTTAAAAAAAAATAAAATAATACAGACAAAAAAAAATCCATGCAAAATGGAGCTACAGTCTGCCACTGAAAGTAGTTTCTCCAATAAATAAACACAAAGATTAGCATTAAAGAGAGGCAAGGAAGAGCAAAACAAGATACCAGTTGGCAGGGAGGACTGAAAACAGCATTTTGGCGGGTCTGGCTGGACCCATGCTACCCAGCCAGAGGGCTTTCCTCCAGCTGCCATGGACAGCAATAATGGGGAGAGACAACCTCCACTAAACCCCTTGCCCCACTGCCCCCCTCAACGGGAAAAGCCTGAACTGGCACCAGAAATGATCTGGTTTGCAGATACAGGCTGTGTTTCCACCCTGTGACACCCAAACTGTCGCTTTTCTTCCCTCCTCAACTTCTTCATGGGTTTTGGCTGGACGCGAGATGCTGCCAAGTCCCTCCCGCCCTGGCAGACACAAGATAGTTGTCCTGACTTGCAGGAAACGCAGGAAAAAAAGCAAGGGGAAGAGGGGGACAGGTCAAGGGAAAGTTACGTTTGACATGGGTGAGAAAATTATCAAGCTCTCCAACGCAGCAGCAGTTAGAGAAGCAGATGTCACCCCAGAGAAGAGCACCATGGTGAAGGGGCGAGAGCGTGCGGCAAGTGCGGCGCTTGCAGGGCAGAGGGGTGAAGGCACACAGTCCAGAGGGTCATCTCCTGCCTACAGAGGCACAGCTCTGGCTTTACACTCCCAGGGCACATCGCAGAGTTGTCCCCTCTCGGTCAAACCTATCTGCCGCCTCTCTGCTGCCTGGAGGGTAAAGCCAAGAGTCCGCCTTGTCTACAGAGACACCAAACTCCGTTAGGCTTTAATAGGGACAGCTGGGTTAGGGCTTTATCAGCATCGGGGTCAGCACTCTCTTCTCTGCAATGGGAAGATCCTTGCCCTGAACTCCCTTTGCCGTGGCTGCAGCAGGCAATCTGGAGTAAATTCATCTTGCTTTGGCTAAGGGAAAAAAAAATCCTTCTCTTATGCTCCATCCACGGGTGGTGACAGCAGACAGCTCCAGGAGAGTCTCTAGCAATGGTACCAGCACTGGGCCAACTTCCTTTTCTCTCTAGGTAGCCTCTTGCTACTCATGGACCAACCTACACAAATTTCCTCCTCCCAGGAGCATGAAGGCCTTTGCTCATCCCTAGGCAACATCGGGACACTGGATTAAGTCCCTCCTTTTCTCTGGCTGGTTTTGATGGGCTTGGCCCTAGAGAGAACCGGTTATGGATGAGCAGAGAGAAAAGTGCATAAAGAGGTGTCCATTGATGGGAAGCTCTCCTTCCTGGTCATGCTCAGCACGATGGATGCGAGGGAGGAAGAGGAGGGGAGTCAGCAGCGAAGGCAGAGTTAACGCAGGAGACCTGGTGTCAGGTGGCTGCAGTGTTAAAGCCTCGGGGTTAGAGAAAAGAAGGGCGTTTGGTCTGGCTGGGCTCTGCCGAGCAGGCTAGAACTTGGTGCCTCGGCCCATCAGCTTGAGGACGGCGAAGTTGTAGGTGGCGGCGATCATGAAGGTGAGCTGTGGGTAGGAAGAAAGTGAGCGAGAGGGGAGGAGGAGAAACAAAGCCCCCGCGGGTGAGGAAGGCAAGCAGGGTGGGATGCCTCACTGGTGTATGCCTGAGGTGGCATTCCCAGTGCAGCGCCCCAACAGAGCAGTTGGCCCACGGAGTCCGTGGCTCCGCTGCACCAGCGGGACACCACAGTGTCTTGTCACTGGTGTAAAGCAAGAGGAGAGCCAGGGAAAGGCAGAGGACTCAGTGTGTGGGCAGCAGGACCTCTCCCCGGTGGTCTCAGATCCCCTCCATCGGCCACCTCTACCTTCTCATGGCCTGAATTTGCTGTCTGCACTTATGTGCCATAAAATGACACGAGCACAGGCTCTGCCATGTCCGTGCCCACCACCTCCACTGTCCTCTGCCCCCACATCCTCGCTGAGCGGAGGAGAATGGCCGGGCAGGGGGAGCACCGACTCACCAGTGAGACCAGCGTGGCGGCTGCCCCCACAAAGGCCGCAATGAAGAGGTGGAAAGTCATCTGGAACTGCAAGGGAAGAGGGGGGCTGAGCTCCTAGGGTCCTACGTGCCAGTTGGGGAGGCCAGTGCTTGGGCCACCCACTGCGGGGAGAGCGTGTAGGGTGGTGGGAGGTGCTCACCTCACTGGTCTTGCAGATGGAGAGCAGGTTGGAGCCACACACCTTGCCGGGGAAAGCGTTCCAGGGCAGGACGCCTGGTAAGATGCAGGGAGCCGGGTGAGCCGGGCATGGCGGCCAGCTGGCTGCCTTGCTTAGCCTCCCGCAGCCACGTGTGTCACACCCGCCCCAGCGTTTCAGGGCTCTTCAGCACTTGCCCCTCCTTTATCCCAGCCTTCTCCACCTGGGCCCTCTCCTCCATCCCCTCTGCCCTGAGCCCTGGCTCCTGGGTGATGAACCTGGCACTCACCGTACATCCTGGCATCCGCACACAGGGTGCCGATGCTGGCTGAGGTCTTGCTGGGGTTGGCAATGGACTGGCAGGTGGTCCAAGTGTTAAAGTAGATGTAGACAGGCACCGCAGAGCAGGCGAAAACCAGGAGCCAGATGATGGTCAGGACGTAGGTAATGCCCACAAACTGCAAGGGGCAGGACAAGCCAGGGCACAGCCGTGGTTACCGAGCGGCCAGGGACACAGACAGGGGAGCGCGAGGGTCCCCAGGCAGGAGCCGGCGTGGGACAGGCAGGGGACTGAGATGCTGCCTGCATCCCGTCCCGCACTGCCCGCCCAACCCGGTGCATCCCCAA